CAGGCGGCTGCGTGCCAGCCTAGGTCTCTCGCAGACGTGAAATGCTGTTAACAGCCATGATTATTAGCAGAGTATTAACCATATGCTGCGGGGATGCTAGTTGTCAGGGTGGGTTTCTAGCTCGATGAGCCGTTGCAGGGTGGGCAGGGGCTTGAGCAGTCACATCGGCCCTGCCGGCTGGGTTCTCCGCCAGCGACTGCCCTCGTTGCGTGCCAGCCCCCCTGGCCCCAGCCGTCGAACTGGGGGTGAAAGCCAAACTCTTACCAGCAAGCAAGGGCTAGAGCAAGCTCCTTCAGCCCTCGCCGCTGCTTCTGGAGGATGCTGAAGCCGTGCCCTGCGCCCCGCTCCGGCCAAGGCGCAGCGCCTGTGTTTCCATGATAAAACTCTTGCTTTTGTTTAGAGTGAAGCAGTTGTAAAGTTTGACTTGACGCCGCCGTGGACGTTTGGGGCTGTAGTCAGGAAGGTCTGTCTTAAATGAACACGTATAAAATATCCTGCTGGCAATGTTTATTGAATTGAATTCCCTCTTCTCCCCGAGTTAACAGCTGGATACTTTCCACGCTGCAAAATAGATTTCAGGTTTTGAGTTCAGGCCTGAGGTTGGTTCAGCCTGGAGTTCATAAGTTTTTTTGAAGTGAAAAAAGCTATTTAATTGGAAAACACTGATGCGCTGGTAGAAGTACACAATAAATGAAATGCTGTTTGATATCGTTACTTGTGTCTGGCAAATTCCCTTCCTTGCTTACGAGTTTGCTGGTGGAAGTGTGAGGTTTCTTAGCTGTAGCCTCCCAAGCAGTGGCTGTGGGCATTTGGCTCTTCCCATGTGCTGGATTTGCATCGCTTAACCTGGGAGAAATGGAGGGAGAATAAATTCTTTGGGGGGGGGGGCATGATGGAAATGGAGCTAGGAGGGTAGGCAGAAGTTGTTGTCAGCTGTCAGGGAGGCTGGAGACAGGAGTTGAGAAACCAAATACAGCAACTTAAGATGGGGGATTTTACATAACCGTTTAAATCTACATTATTCAAATCCAACAAAGGCCAAGTAATGACCCAATTACAGTTCCTCAGATGCTTGTGCTGGGGTTCCCTCCTCGGGTGCCCGGGGGTCCCTCCTCGGGTGCCCGGGGGTCCCTCCTTGGTGCCCGGGTCCCTCTTTGTTGCCTGGGTCCCTCCGGTACGTGCCAGCTCTGGTTCATCTCCTCCCCCCCATTTATTTTTAAAGCAGCATTTAAAATCAGAAAGGAAATTTGCAGTGGGTGGGTGAACTTTGCCTGTGAGTGACATACGCCGGCGAAGGCAGCCAGCACTTCACGTATGACTTGCGCCGGGCTCCTCGAGGCAGCGTACCCGATCGGCTTCAGCCCACACCACGGTGGAAAAACTAACTGGCAGCAAATTCAAAAAAAAAAAAAAAGAAAAAAAAAAACCCCAACCCAACAACCCCCAAAACACTTCCTGGAGTTGGCAGGCGATGAGGGTATTTGGAGCCTGTATTGAGGCGAGGGGTAACCCGGGGTTCCCCCCTTTCCGGCATCACCCTGCTTTAGCATCCCCGCTCGTCTCGGTGTGGAAAGGGGTCCGTGACTCCTTAATCCCTTGGGGAGGGCGAGCGGGAAGGTGTTGCATCAGTCTCTAAATATCTCTCGAAGCAGGCGGAGGCGGGCGAAGGGGAGAG